AATATTGCAACGAAACATGGGGTCGTAGCATTCCTAAGAGAATGTTGTATTTATAAGACAGAATTAACTGTTATCATCGGGACGCAGGCTGAGAAAAATGCGTAGGATAAGATATGGGGGGAGCATTTGTTAATGTACTTCAATACATGTGCAGGCAACGAGACTGACTGAGAAGAAAATGCTAACACTTAATATACATGTACATATACATATACATGTAAGGGTATTTTCAATCAATGTGATAGATATATTAATAAAACTTCCAGGGTGCTCGATACTCGTCTAAACCAACAGTCAAAGCTTGCTCCCCGAGTAGTCGCGACAGAGAGGGAGGAGAAGAGACAAAAAATCGGCTGTTAACAAAGTAATAAAATATTCAGCGAATGTTGGAATAATGGCATGATATTTAATACTATTTCCGATATTAAAACCGTGACATACGGGTCATATCATGTTTAGTTCATGGGAAGGAGGCGACAAAGATAGGCACATTTCAATGCAGCCTTAAGATGTAATTGTAATGCCACGCACACGCTCATCAAATGACACGACAAACTTAAGGGGATGAAAAAAAATCTTTTGTTGAAACTGTCAAGTAGTTTGAAGTACAGTGCACAACCCCACAGCGAGGGATTAGATGACTAGTAGCATAAACAAGATGTAAGATATGACTAACTGCAACGGTTAAGCGTTTAGCACAACCTTGTTGTGGTGAAAAAAATTGCTAAAATTTCAGTGCTGTACACTGCTTTTCGTCCAATTAACGCATCCAAATATGAATTTATTAAACATTACAAGAGGCGTTTGTTGCAATAGGAAGCAAAGGTTTTGTTTTCCATTCGGCTAACCTTCCAACCTGACTAAAATGAGGTAGTTGCATAACATATTCTTCATTCCGTTACCTGGCAGTATGAGTTTGTATTGACTTTTATTTCATGTCGTCACATGGATTGCGTTTGCTGTTTTGCTCAAGCCCAAGCCAATTTGAATCTCAACCGCAAACACAATCGCTTTAATTTCGGCAGTGACAAAATATAAGTAGGGTGGACATATGCCACAATTTTCACTCTCCCAAATATCTCAGCGACAGACTATTTTACCGCAAGTTAGAAAAATGTGCATTTACTCGTTAGTTGAAAGCAAGAGAAAATTGACCAGTTTTGAAATTCATTATTGCCTTTAGAAACCATTTATATGATTAGAGCTATCGAGAGTAGGCCTAATAGTGATATGATAGAAATGAAAAATTGGATTGTCCTTTTGTGCAATTGTGAAATGAACAGAATTAATCATATCATTAAGTTCATTCTAAGCTGCTATTATAGGCACTATACTGTATATTTCAACTAACCAAACATCAGGTTATATATGTATTTTCACTCTTATAGACAAGGTTAATTTTGAAAGAAATGCATCGCGTTGCTCAGGTTTTAGGTATACTTTGATAGTGTGGACATTTCTCCAAGCTACTGGTATTGTAGGGATATGCAATTTGCAATATGTGGAACCATTATCTATCGCTTAAAAACCGGGCTTAAATGGGAGTCTTCAAATGGCCACTTATAAACGCTGCAGTAATTAACCGTCTAATCCTGTGTCCATTTTCAGCTGATATACTGCCTTTGATGAAATGCGAAAAATTAAATTTTCAATTTTGACATATGAGTCTATCGAAAATATTCATGATACATGTATTTAAAGCATTGAAAACCGTTCTACGGGTACACTTCGCCAGCATTTGTTGAACGAGTTGTTAACATGAATTTCAAAGTAAGCGTTTGCGTTTTCCTGTTCGCCGCAATTTTTGTGACTGCCGAGGTAAAGAAACCACCTCTGCTTCGTGGCCAACTGGAGGTGAATAAGTTTTGTCAAAATGGAGGGAAGGTATTCCGCCAGGATACGTGCAATACTTGTCGCTGTGGCGGAGGGTGCACAATTATTGGTTGCTACGCAGGTAGGTCGAATGTGTCGACAACACACGCTTGGACAGCACCGACTGTCTAAAAACGCCCAAAACTTCACGGGGGGGGGGGGTCTAGATGGATACTAACACTTTTGCTTAAAAGTATGCCCTGTTTAAAAAATGTACTCACAAATCCATTGATACCCCCAGCCTGAGCCGTCACTATTATTAAATTTTACATGATGTACAGATGTCTACCCTGTGTGACATCCGAGCAGAATGGAAGTTCACATCACCACGTATGTTCCTGTAGCTGCAATTTAAATTTAAACGCTGGATCCTCGTAAACTAAAGGAAAAGTTGGTCGTACAATTTACTGCGTTGTCCCCAAGTTTCAGCTTTTACCACTCACAGCTTTGATATTAATTTTGGATGTATCATGTATTTTGCATATGAGAAGAAACATGTTTTTTTAAAAATAATTATTTTATTTCATTTTATTTATTTATTTTTGCTCTTAAGGTTAAGGCATTCAATTTGCAAAGTTTTCGTAGCGCAGATGACACGCGTTACCATGCGTAGCAGCGTTAATCTTTGGTTTTAAATTTTGATTTAAGAAAAACGACACGCAGCTGCCATTCTAATGTTGAAAACATGGGGAAAAGGCTGGTATCATCTAATATATCCTGATTCATCACGCCTATTGTACATATACATGTAGCCTATTAATTTTTTTGTTCCATGATTAATGTTCTCATATCTGTGATGTTTTTTTTCAAAGAGAACAGATGCTCTGAATTGAAAAAAGGAGACCTAGTGCTCGATCCAGATGACTGCAGCAAGTTTTATGAATGCGGCTCTGGATTCCAGCTTCCCACTTCGATGTCGTGCCCAGAAGGCCTGTGGTTTAAAGATGGCGGCGATGGAACTGGAATTTGTGATTGGCCAGAAAATGTTGAGTGTCTGAGTGCTTGAAGTTAGGACAGAAAATAATAAAGAGATGATACTAACGAAAAACATAAGAATTATTGTTTTATTTTTCTTTTTTGCTTGTTTTAATGATTGATAGGTAAATAGGATAAATGAACCTTGCAGTTTGCCTGTGTTCATAAAAGAGAAAATTATTTTAAATCAAGATTCAAATTTTAGTGCTGAGGGACTTCAATTCATGACGCTTAATAAAAATAACGGGTCTTAAAAATCTTAAAAACTACTACTGACCTTCCAAACAGAAGAGATGTGACTGCCATATCTGGAACATCAGCAACTGTTCAGAGTGTTACTAAAACATGTGCGCTCATGTGCGACAGAAAATGCCACGTTGACTCACAACATAATTAACAACAAAAAGTCTAGTTTGTCAGACATTTAACAGTTTAGATAAACATTTTACGTCAGACGAAACTATGTTATCTCCCTTTTTAGGTGTGGTAACTGTGTGTGCTTGACGCAAAAAATCAAAATGTTTTCATGGCAAATGATTAAGTAAGGGTAAACATTGCTCTCACTTGATAACAACTTGGACGCAAAAGAAAAAAATTCTAGACGGATAAAACGATTCGTCAAAAAAAAAAAAAAAAAAAAAAAAAAAAAAAAAAAAAAAAAAAAAAAAAAAAAAAAACAGAAAAGAAAATTCACAGGCTATGAATATACAGACGACGCACACTTTAACATTTCACATTGTAAACTTGTACTTATGCTTTCTTATTAGTCATAAATTCAGTCTGTGTTCTACTTAAACTTGTTTTTGCTTATCCATATTGAAATTCTAAGCAATATTTTTTTCTGTTAACCTATTGTTGTACGCCGCGCTGAGCTGCACAAATGTTAACTTTTACTATTATACCACAGAGGTTCAAGAGCGATATTGCTATTCGTATCTTCTATACTAACTTTGAACATCTTTGTTTTAAACATTTCATATACTTTTGTGTTTGAATGAGATTACCACAGTCTTTATCAAACTCGTGGTTGTGAATTTAATGCCCGTTTTCATTAGTTTCATTATCGTGTTTATGATCTTTAAAGTGGTGCCGCGGAAACGTGACAAGGAAATTATGCTTTGACGTGAAAAACAATTTGAATTATCCATTCGGAATGTTGTGATACTAGTATAACTAACTGAGACAAATTATCAGGCACTATACTGTATATTCAAATACAGTATAGTATAGTATATTCAGTCTTAGTGGGATCATAATACGTCAATTAAAACCCGGTCTTTAAATTGGAGATAATTCAGTCCAATTAATTTCCAGTTCAAACGTTGATGAAATTAGAAAAATTCAATTAACAATTTCAACGTTTGAACTTAATGGAAAGCATCGTTCAATTAAAGATAAGGTTAATTATATTCAAAGCATTAAAAACGTTCAACATACATATGAGCTGTATACAAAAATTTTCAGGTACATGTAGTTTTTTTCTTCTCCTGTACGCCGTTTCTTTTGCAAATGCAAAACGAAATTTTCAAGGTGATGCACCTGGAAGCAAAAGAAATATTGTGTGGTTTGTTTTTCTCTTCATCCAGAATCATTTTTCTTAAGGCATTTTTGTTATATATGATTGACTGTTTTTAGGATTGAAAGGTACGATAGGACGACAGGATAGAAAGGACGAATAAACCTTAAATTTTGAAAGGAATTACATTCGAATCATTCCAATAGAGGGACTTTTTAGTGCTTAGACACTGCAATTCATGACATATAATTTAGTACAATTTTTAAATTGTTTAAAAACAAGTTCAACGGTAAAAAGTTTCAGCAGTGGGTGCTTTTTAATTCCCAAACCACAATACATGAATGACCTCTAAAAATGAACTTCATTTGGTACATGTACATGTACATGTATACACAATGTACAGAGGCAGCTGTGGTATCTGCCCTCAGAGGTGGTAGAATAAATTTATCAGTATCCGGGTGACACTACAAGAATGACTTTCAGCGAAATTCCAAATATCATATTGTTTTCTAATACCAGTACTTATTTATTTATAATACGGAAGAGGTGTCTCTTCAAGTAAGTCCAATATGCAGCAAGTTTTCATATGGTTAACTTTTCCAGTGCTCATATTATTTAAAGATCACATCATTCACATGTTTTACTGGCACTTTGGTTTGTACACCATCCACCCTTCTTTATCATGGTCGTAGGCACACGTGCAGTTCAGGTCGCCTTCTTTCCAGTGGTCCCCGGCTCGACGATCCCCGCACTCCACTAGAACGAAGGGACAGGTAAAGATAAGGTGCATAGGAATATTCGATACAGTATGACACAAGCGTATTGACAAGTCGGCCTTTCATACGACACAGTTACGGTAAAAACGAATCCATTGCTACGCGTGCGTTGGGGGGGGGGGGGAGGGGGGAGGGCAGAGGGTGAATATCTTTTCCACTCGCGTCTCTCGATAATGTAACAGTGGACAAGAACATTTTAAGAGACAGGGATGAAAAACAAATGCTTGTTGGAGTCTTATCAGGGGAGGGGTGGGGGCTCACTGTGCTCCCTAGTTTATGAACCCACAACAATGCTATTAAAGACCCTCACGTCAGACTTACATGTATACACACTCACTGTACAGAATCACAGATGTAAGGGTGGTTGTATACTAAAACACGTGGCTCTCGTTTCGAAAAATGGAAGAATAAGACATTCATATGTTCTGGTTTCATCTGTAATACAACAAATTGTACCAACGTAGTTCAGTAGATCCAGTACTATAATGCAACTGTACATGTCTGTACGGTTATTTGATTGCAATCTTTGCAATACTCTTTATGAATTATGTTCTTAAAATACATTGTAAGCAGGGGTGGATCCTGGAATATTTGAAGGGGGGGGGGTCCGTGGATGCGACGCCGCCCACCCCCCTCCGGTTGACGTAGGGTCCGGGGCCCCGAAAATTTTTAGTATTTTTAGAGGGCGAAAGGTGCCATTTGGTACGGTTTAGTACTATAAATCAGATGGTCAAATTCTAATTCCAAGAGGTGAATATTAGTGTAATTTTTTTCAGAAACCGAATGGGGGGGGGGGGGAGGGGTCAGGACCACCCTGACCACCCTCTAAATCCGCTGCTGGCTAAGTCTGTGGAATGTCGGGCACTTTATGTGTACTGACCTTTCAGGCATCCCATTTCAGTACAGAAATAGCTGCCATCTTCGGAGCACCAGCATGTGTTACAGGCATAACGAAACGGAGAGCTCGACGGCGATTTCTGGCAGAACGCACGTGGATCTTTCACTGTGTCGTCTGCCGAAAATGTCACGTTGACACACATCGCAAGAAACAACAAAAGGCCTAGTTTGCTCGCCATTTTGCCTTTAAGATAAAGTATTTAGGTCAGTGTAAAGCGTGTTATCTCCCCGGTAATGTGAACAACTTGTAATGTAAATTGTGTATGTTGTACTGCTTAATGTTTACCCCCACGCTATGTACGTCTTACTGCTACGATTATCGCAATTAATGTTTTATGTAAATGAATAGTAAGGAAAACAACTAATAAAAATTGATAATAAATATTAAATAGAAAAAAAAAAAACATTTTAACATTTCACACTGTATAACTGGCACGCAAATTTCACAGGTTCAATTTGTGTTATTCATAAACTTATTTTGCTAATCCATCTTTTCGTTCTTTACCATTTCAATATCCCTGTTTACTTATTGATGTAACTCGTGTTGTACAGCACAGTGGTTACAATGAAACATTTAATTTTTTAACTTTTCATAACAAATGTAATTATAAATCTGGCCATCATATACTTGTGCTTTTCCCTCTTTTTTTCATCTCGGGTAAACATACACTGGCCAGGATAGTAATGATATTTCGCTTGTGTTAACAGTTTAACATTTTGTGTAGCCGAACCAGTAGAGTGGAATACGTTACCAATTTTTATTAGACGAATAGAAACACAAGAATCTTTTAAAACGGAATTGAAAACTCACATTTTAAAGACATTTTATTCATGAATTTTAAATTTTACATTAAAGAAACCTTGGATTTTTTACTTTTAATTACTGTTTATTACTATTTAGTCTAGCTCTGATTTATATAATATATATCTTAACCCTTTTAATCTATAAACTTCTTTGTATTTTATGTTGTACAGTCTATTGAACATTTTATGGATTTTAGACTCGAAATAAATATATTAATATAATATTATTGTGCTACAGAATTGATTTTCTCAGAAAACTATTAAAAAGAGTACGGGTTTTTGCACTTTTTTTTAACCTTATACCTATACCTGTGTGACTGTGTTTCTTTCTAGGGAAATCGCGATATCTGCTGGAGTCTTACAGGTATTTCACGTGACCCATGCTTCTGCAAATTGTGATTGGTCTATCAGGTATAGTGGGAGGAGGAATTTTAAAGACTATTAACTCCAGTGCGAGCCACCTTCCGTTGGGTTGTTCTGTTTGGAAGCGACTGCAGAATCTCTGCATATTTATTATATCAATACACAATCTTTAGAAATTAAATGTGAACTTATTATATCAATACACAATCTTTAGAAATTTAATGTGAACTTAACACTCGTTTGAATCACGAGTTTCATAGCTTGTGTAAAAACAATATGACAAAATAGAATAGCAGATTTTATTCATGCAAAGCTTGAATTTGAATTTGCAATTTGAAATAGTCCATTAGAAATAGATTAGTAATAAAGGAAATGTCTCAATAGTGTGGCATTTGTGATACTTATGGAACCAATTGAATCTTTTTATCGGTATTACATTGATTTCTGTATGAAAAAGACCTAATATACTTTCAATATGATTTATGATATTTTCCTTAATGTTACTTTACTTATGAATAAAATTTTCAAAACTTCCATGCTTTTATGTACTTTATGTTAACCGATGCTATATAAAATATAAATGAACAAAAGTGTATGTATGTTCATTTATTTTTAGTACCTAGGCAGATCCAACCCTCCCTTTTTTGAAAAAAAAAAAAGCTCCCCTCTTCATTTTTGGCACTCATTAATTCAAGTTTATTTTCTTAATCATCTATTTTCATCACTATTCACAATTCCTCGGAAGGCAGTTTTGACGATAGAGACATCAATTATGTTATGGTCAGAATGGTCAGAATTGCAACATTTTAAGAGTTTTAATCAAGTCAGCAAGCAGTGTTACAACGGATCAAACCAAGCGTAGTGCAGCAGCAAGTGGAGTAGTAATTTTCTCATTTTGCTCATGGTTTCTTGCAGACGGGACCAAAAACTTCCCACCCAGCCTTGTTGGCTAAGAACTGACAGCTACATTCTTCGCCATCAGCCTCCCATGTCTTGTATGGATCGTGGGAGCCGCAGTCCACTGGAAATTAATTAAAAACTCATCTCAAATAACGAATTTTGAAAAACCGTCTAATAAAACATCTTCCACTCTATATAAAAAAATGTAATTAAAATAGTGATCTTAGCACCCGAAATTCGCAATATAATGAGTTTAATAATAATTTTCTTCAGACGGAAATATTTTCAATATCTGTCTTGATTTGAAGTTTGTCTTTTAAAAAAATTTGTGATTTGAAAAGCGTAGATCTATTAAAATATATATTCCAGAATGGATATAGAATTGAGGGTAATATACGAAAAAACAGTATTTAGCCATCTTAGCTGACCATACCCATTGTAGAATTACTCATTTAAATGCTAAAGCTAAAATGAAAATAGGAACTTAGTCTTAAATCATACTCAAAATGGGTGGAAACAAGAAATGTTGGCCATTTCTCAACTCCTACCTTTGACGCAACCCTTTTTAGTACACGCCGGTGGTTCGTTTGGGGCGCCACACCAACAACGATTACAAGCGTACATAAACGGTGTATTCTTCTCATGCTCTGCGCAGAACTTCTTTATCTCTTCAACCACGGGGAGTTTTTCCTCTGGCAAAGGCACTGCCATTCCCAACGCAGCTACGCAGACGACCAAAACGTAAGCGAAATACTTCCCTCCCATATTGTCGGAGTTATTTTAGATCTCAGTGAAGTTGGGATGAGATGAAAGTTACGTCCTGTGATACTTTGTCTATAAAGTCAAATTCTCTGCCAGTGCAGAGCTTAAAGTTTTGAAGGAAGTGCTGTTTTTGAGGCGCGTAATTATGCGACGTCAATTTTCAGAGCTCAGAGAACAAGGTTTCCTGTTCTTTGAAAAACGTGATCATATTAATTATGTGCCCAATCAAGCAGTCTTTTCATCGAAAGTTAAAAATAAAGTGATTTATATCTTTTATCGGAATACTCAACTCTTTTTCGCATTTAATATTCCACTCCTGTCGAATCTGAAATATTTACGACCTTTCTTGAAGATAGCGTTTTTAAGGATAGATTGTAGGAAAGATAATCCATCATTTTATTTGTTAAGCTTGCCAACTTGAGAGCAAATTAAACATGTAGATTTGAATTTTATCGGGCAATACGCGTGTAAGTGAGTATTTACACTGTCGGTAAAGCAAACAGCGCTCTAAGAGGAAAAGTTGTGTATGGAATACTATAAAGAAAATCAGCTCCGCCTTTAAATGACGAAGTTACATTATGAAACTAGAATTGCTATTACTAGTACTTCTGCAGACAAAAAGTGTTATACATTATAAGAACTTCTCCTTTCTTTTTTTCTTTTATANGGGGGGGCAGAGGGTGAATATCTTTTCCACTAGCGTCTCTCGGTAATGTAACAGTGGACAAGAACATTTTAAGAGACAGGGATGAAAAACAAATGCTTGTTGGAGTCTTATCAGGGGAGGGGTGGGGGCTCACTGTGCTCCCTAGTTTATGAACCCACAACAATGCTATTTAAGACCCTCACGTCAGACTTACATGTATACACACTCACTGTACAGAATCACAGATGTAAGGGTGGTTGTATACTAAAACACGTGGCTCTCGTTTCGAAAAATGGAAGAGAAAGACATTCATATGTTCTGGTTTCATCTGTATTACAACAAATTGTACCAACGTAGTTTAGTAGATCCAGTAGGCCCTACTATAATGCAACTGTACACGTCTGTACGGTTATTTGATTGCAATCTTTGCAATATTCTTTATGAATTATGTTCTTAAAATATATTGTAAGCAGGGGCAGAACCATGAACATTTGAAAGGGGGGAGGTCCGCGGGTGCGACGGTTGACGTAGGGTTCGGGTGCGAACGGTGCCGTTTGGTACGGTTTAGTACTATGAATCAGATGGTGAAGATTCTAATTCCAAGAGGAATATGAGTGTGATTTTATTTTCAGAAACCTAATGGGGGGGGGGGGCATGACCCCCCTGACCCCCCTCTAAATCCGCCTCTGGCTAAGTCTGTGGAATGTCGGGCACTTTATGTGTACTGACCTTTCAGGCATCCCATTTCAGTACAGAAATAGCTGCCATCTTCGGAGCACCAGCATGTGTTACAGGCATAACGGAACGGAGAGCTCGACGGCGATTTCTGGCAGAACGCACGTGGATCTTTCACTGTGTCGTCTGCCGAAAATGTCACGTTGACACACACAGCAAGAAACAACAAAAGGCCTAGTTTGCTCGCCATTTTGCCTTTAAGATAAAGTATTTAGGTCAGTGGAAAGCGTGCTATCTCCCCGGTAATGTGAACAACTTGTAACGTAAATTGTGTATGTTGTACTGCTTAATGTTTACCCCCACGCTATGTACGTCTTACTGCTACGATTATCTCAATTAATGTTTTATGGAAATGAATAGTAAGGAAAACAACAAATAAAAATTGATAATAAATATTAAATAGAAAAAAAACCAAAAATTTAAACATTTCACACTGTATAACTGGCACGCAAATTTCACAGGTTCAATTTGTGTTATTCATAAACTTGTTTTTGCTAATCCATCTTTTCGTTCTTTACCATTCCAATATCCCTGTTTATTTATTGATGTAACTCGTGTTGTACAGCACAGTGGTTACAATGAAACATTTAATTTTTTAAAACTTTTCATAACAAATGTAATTATAAATCTGGCCATCATATACTTGTGCTTTTCCCTCTTTTTTTCGTCTCGGGTAAACATACACTGGCCAGGGTAGTAATGAAATTTCGCTTGTGTTAACAGTTTAACATTTTGTGTAGCCGCACCAGTAGAGTGGAATACGTTACCAATTTTTATTAGACGAATAGAATCACAAGAATCTTTTAAAACGGAATTGAAAACTCACATTTTAAAGACATTTTATTCATGAATTTTAAATTTTACATTAAAGAAACCTTGGATTTTTTACTTTTAATTACTGTTTATTACTATTTAGTCTAGCTCTGATTTATATAATATATATCTTAACCCTTTTAATCTATAAACTTCTTTGTATTTTATGTTGTACAGTCTATTGAACATTTTATGGATTTTAGACTCGAAATAAATATATTATTATAATATTATTGTGCTACAGAATTGATTTTCTCAGAAAACTATAAAAAGAGTACGGGTTTTTGCACTTTTTTAAACCTTATATCTTATACCTGTGTGACTGTGTTTCTTTTCTAGGGAAATCGCGATATCTGCCGTAGTCTTACAAGTATTTCACGTGACCCATGCTTCTGCAAATTGTGATTGGTCTATCAGGTATAGTGGGAGGAGGACTTTTAAAGACTATTAACTCCGGTGCGAGCCACCTTCCGTTGGGCTGTTCTGTTTTGCCCCTATTTCACACAGACCACGAATCCCACGAATGGCGATGAATTGACAAATTTCACGATTCGTGGTTGAATCCTAATCAGTTCGTTAAGTTCTTAACAGATTCGTATATATTCGTAGTCAGTTCTTGCACTTCTTGACCAACAGGAATGGGTGGCAAAAACGTTGATGCCACTATTTCACACAGACCACGAATCCCACGAATCGCCAGGAATTGAAAATTTGGTTGAATCGTAATCAGTTCGTGAAGTTCTTAACAGATTCGTATATAATCGTAGTAAGTTCTTGCAATTCTTGATCAATCGGGAATTCGTGGCAAAAATTTTGAGCTGTTCATAGTTTTGGCCACGAACTCCCGATTCCAAAATATCGTAGTGAATTTCTAGACAATATTCGTGCGATTCCAGCCGAATCCCACGAATATTCGTAACACTATCGTACCTGTATCGTAAGTGAATCGTGAGCGTGTCGAATAAGACCAGAAAATTGGCAAAATCTCACGAATCCTCACGAATCCTAAAATTTGTCAATTCCTGGCGATTCGTGGGATTCGTGGTCTGTGTGAAATAGGGGCCTTAGGAAGCGACTGCAGAATCTCTGCATATTTATTAGATCAATACACAATTTTTAGAAATTAAACTGTGTGAACTTAACACTCGTTTCACGAGTTTCATGGCTTGTGTAAAAGCAATACGACAAAATAGAATAGCAGATTTTATTCATACAAAGCTTGAATTTGAATTTGCAATTTGAAATAGTCCATTAGAATTTGCAATTTGAAATAGTCCATTAGAAATAGATTGAAAATAAAGAAAATGTCTCAATATTGTGGCATTTGTGATACTTATGGAACCAATTGAATCTTCTTATCGGTATTACATTGATTTATGTATGAAAAATACCTAATATACTTTCAATATGATTAATGATATTTTCCTAAAGGTTACTTTACTTATGAAAAAAATTTCAAAACTTCCATGCTTATATGTACTGTATATTAATCGATGCTATATAAAATATAAATGAACAAAAGTGTATGTATGTTCATTTATTTTTAGTACCTAGACATAGGCAGATCCAACCCTCCCTTTTTTGAAAAAAAATCTAGCTCCCCTCTTCATTTTTGGCACTCATTAATTCAAGTTTATTTTCTTAATCATCTATTTTCATCACTATTCCTCTGAAGGCAGTTTTGACGATAGAGACATCAATTATGTTATGGTCAGAATTGCAACATTTTAAGAGTTTTAATCAAGTCAGCAAGCAGTGTTACAGTGGATCAAACCAAGCGTAGTGCAGCAGCAAGTGGAGTAGTAATTTTCTCATTTTGCTCATGGTTTCTTGCAGACGGGACCAAACACTTTCCATCCAGCCTTGTTGGCCAAGAATTCACAGCTACACTTCTCGCCATCAGCATTCCATGTTGTGCCAGGATCGTGCGAGCCGCAGTCCACTGCAAATCAATTAAAAACTCATCTCAAGCTACACATTTTGAAATGCCATCTGATAAAACTTTTACATGTAACACTCATATAAAAAGTTGTTTTTACTGAAAAGGAAGAGATTGATATTAAAATAGTGATCTTAGTACCCGAAATTCGAAATATAATGATTTGTGTATAATTTTCTACAGACGGAAATATTTTTAAACATCTGCCTTGATTTGAAGTTTGTCTTTGAAAAAATATCTGCGATGTGAAAAGCGTAGACTTTTAAAATTATTTAAAAAATATATATAATATAATTCCAGAATATACAGTATATAGAAGTGAGGGTAATATACGAAAAACAGTAATTAGCCATCTTAGCTGACCATATTCACTGAAAGATTACTCAGCTTAATGCTAAAAAAAAAAATGAAAATTAGAACCTAGTCTAAAATCATTCTCAATGGGTGGAAACAAGAAATATTGTCCATTTCTCAACTCATACCTTTGACGCAACCCTTCTTAGTACACGCCGGCGGCTGGTTCGGGGCGCCACACCAACAACGATTACAAGCGTACATAAACGGTGTATTCTCCTCATGCTCTGCGCAGAACTTCTTTATCTCTTCAACCACGGGGAGTTTTTCCTCTGGCAAAGGCACTGCCATCCCCATCGCAGCAACGCAGACGACCAAAACGTAAGCGAAATACTTCCCTCCCATATTGTCTGAGTTATTTTAGATCTCAGTGAAGTTGGGATAAGATGAAAGTTACGTCCTGTGATACTTTGTCTATAAAGTCAAATTCTCTACCAGTGCAGAGCTTTCAGTTTTGAAGGAAGTGCTGTTTTTGAGGCGCGTAATTATGCCACGTCAATTTTCAGAGCTCAGAGAACAAGGTTTCCTGTTCTTTGAAAAGTGTGATCATATTAATTATGTGCCCAATCAAGCAGTCTTTTCATCGAAAGTTAAAAATAAAGTGATTTATATCTTTTATCGGAATACTCAACTCTTTTGCGCATTTAATATTCCACTCCTGTCGAATCTGAAATATTTACGACCTTTCTTGAAGATAGCGTTTTTAAGGATAGATTGTAGGAAAGATAATCCATCATTTTATTTGTTAAGCTTGCCAACTTGAGAGCAAATTAAACATGTAGATTTGAATTTTATCGGGCAATACGCGTGTAAGTGGGTATTTACACTGTCGGTAAAGCAAACAGCGCTCTAAGAGGAAAAGTTGTGTATGGAATACTATAAAGAAAATCAGCTCCGCCTTTAAATGACGAAGTTACATTATGAAACTAGAATTGCTATTACTAGTACTTCTGCAGACAAAAAGTGTTATACATAATAAGAACTTCTCCTTTCTTTTTTTTCTTTTACATTGGAGCCGTTTTAACGTCAAACAGGCACGACAGACACATCTGTCAGATGAGACGCCTTTTTTTGCAGATGCTCTATATAATCAAGAGAGATAAGAGTGGTTGTATTTGCAACTGAATACGAATCTTCTGAACCTTCTGCGAGAAGCTGTTCAAGTAATTTTGTAATTGCTTTATTTTGTAAACTGTAGATTTTGGTAATTTAGAGGGCGAACGGTGCCATTTGGTAAGGTTTAGAACTATGATTCAACTAGTCAAAATTATAATTTCAAGAGGAAACCATTGGTGTGGTTTTTTTTCAGAAATCGAAGGGGGGGTTT